ACTGTCTATCCTTCCCCTTTTTTTCTTTTAAGCGAAATACCTCCCCTTTTTAGGGGAGCCAATAAAATCTTTATATAAAAAAAAAGAATGCAGCGGCCAATCTGTGAACTGATCATAGCAATAAAACTAAAGGTGGCTCGACACTCAACAATCCTTAATACATAGCATTGTGCTCCTCTCACAAATTAATGCTGCATTTAGAATAAAAGTGGCTTTTTAAGCAAGCTGCACCTACTCAGCCTACTTGATGGTTTCCTGTATTAGAAACCATGCAGACACCCACTATATATCTGCTGAATCTGTGTCCCAGTTATTTTATTGCCATCAAGCAAACCACACAGGGTTTTTTGGCTTTCCCCTCTTCAGCACTGCTGTGGTTTATCTGTGCATCTTTCACCCTAAAAATTCCTTTAGTCAGCTGTCCATTTTAAGAGCCTTTCTCCCCTAAATTCTAGGCAGGTATTTCTGCTTTCAGAGTCTGGACTCTACGGTTTAAATCCACATCTTTACCTGGTAGCCCATTTCCTAATACTCACTTCCTCTTACGGTACATCACAGAGGAGGAAGGAAGGCAATAATATACTCATATTCTTTAATGCCTAATTAATCTGAATTCTGATGCATTTATCATCAGAAATTAGTGTTCTTATGAACATAATTTCTCTAGAACTGTTTTATATACCTAATTCATCCCAGGGTGATGATTAATGGCATCATCTGCTTCCGACTACATTCAATAACCAATTAACACTATTAAAATGGACTAGAACGTGAATAGCCTCACCCTTCCAATATACAGGCCAAATGCCAAGATACTGGCAGTAGGGCTGCTTGGGAAATGTTAAAGGGAAAATGGGCAGCTTGATCCTATCCCGTCACATGTGCAATACCAAGCAGACAACGTCTCGACAATGGCACCATCCATGAGTCTAGCAGTAGGATTGCTGACTTTCCAGCCAGTCATTGTGCTACGTTACCTATTTTACTACACTTACAGTTTCCCTTTCTCAAAAAGACTAAAGGGTACTGTGAGAAACTGGCAACCATAGCAGGAGGGCGAAGTTGGACAGTTCCATCCTGCTCACTCTCTTGCATCAAAAACTTCTATTTCCAGCACTGTCTAGTCCTCAGACCTTTAACCAGGACCTCTAATAAAGGAACAGTCAGATACAAAAGATCCTGCTGCATTAATATTCCTACTGGCAAAGACCTAGATTCACATTAGCATTCTCAACTAAAAAAACAACTCTATTCACACTGACCCAATACAGT